AAGACAAGTGAAAAGTCTTCTTTCTAATATAGTATTGCTTCTTTATCAGACAAGACTCATTTTCAGGTGAAAAAAAAGTGAGATTCTGTTCTTTTACATGCAAGACAGCTGTTGCTTGGAAAACACGTTTTGCTTGCATGGTATCATGCACCCTGCTTCCTGCACTGCCCAGTTCCCAAAGGGGACTTGCTTTCTGCAGTGGTTTATTGTCAGCCTACAGCTGGCACGGTGCTGCTCCTGCAGGGTTGTAGCATGAGCCCTGAAAGAGCTGTTGGTTTTCATGATATGCAAATATCTACCCTGCTCTTCAGTGCAGAAGTGGCTGCAGGAGTTTGTACGCCTCTGCCGGAGGCTGTTGCTATATACTGGTGAAGAATGTCTGTATGCACGTGGTGTGTGCCCTTGTGCAGCTCCTGGGCAAAGTCCAGCAGCTAGCTGTATGTACTCAAGGAACCTAAGTGCTAATGTGTCAGACTTTGCACTGAAATAGATTAAAATCATGCCTAAGATCCAGTCTCTGTTACAGGATTGGTAATGCCCCGGACAATGCTCTGATAGTCAGATTACTCCTGTCTTTCAGAACTCCTTGGGAAGTTTGAAGGATTGGGAATTGGGAAAGGGAAAATCATAAAGCGTGAGGTAACCTAGGAACCTATCAAAACTGTGCTCTGATCTTTGGTCCATGACTGTTACCAGTGTGTTTACAGTGCAGAGCTAGGACTTTGTGAGCTGGGCCTAAGCCTTTGGCTCTGTGGGAAATTTGAGAGGCACCAAAGCAGATACTTATGTGCTATCCTGAACTCCCTGCACAGGGGCGAAAAGCTGGGTAAACAAGGGAGGCAGTACCTTTACAAATACCATCATCATCAGTGAAGCCAGAAACTTAGAGACCTCTGTTTTGTGAAGAGTAATCCCAGGTTTCCAGCAGTTTCGCCCTTCAGTGCCAAGACCCTCTCCCTGATTGTTTCACCAATGGGGCAATGAAAGGAGCAAGCAGAGGTGTTTCTACAGGCTGATCTTCAGGAGGAGAAGCCAAGGCTGACCTGCTTTTTTCCTGAGGAAAGGAAGGGATATTGACTTTGATCTAAGAAGTTTCAGAGCTAGTTCGTGCTTTGAATCCAATTCTGTGAGGTCTTTGTGTATACATGTGAGGGAACAAGACACCTTACCCCTGTGGTGGTAATGGCTTAAAGCCTGTTTTAAGTTTTGTTTTTATCAATAAAGCTGTATGAGCTCATGTGTCTGAACAAATGTTTGTAGTTTAGGTGGTGTTGTGATTATATGCATAATATTATGTCAAATGTTTGAATGAGAAGTAGCTACAGTAAGAAATGAGTAAAAAAAAGAAAAGGCCAAGCCAAAAGAATTTTAAGACTATAAAGAAAGACTTTTTTTTAGACTGTGTACACTCCAGTGTGTTTATATTAATATGAAGGATGGATTTCTTTAACTCATCGACCTGCAGGTATATACTGTAAATCAGGATTTCAGGAAGGTCAGCTTCTGTAATTCCAGCAATATTTCACTTTTTTATGCAGTATACTTCATATGAACAAAACACTGAAAAGAGAAATGCTATTTTTTTTCCTGAATAATAAATATCCTTACTGTGGAAGAGTAAGGTGTAAAACGGTAAGTTACAGGAAGCACAGTCATTGTCAGCAGTGTCAATTCAGCCCTTAGGGGGGTTTTATTTTATTTTTTCATCTTGTGATTTGAAAGCCTGTTAGCAATTTTCTGTTTTGATGCACACTTGCAGACTTTGTGGTAAAATGTCTTTTAATTTTATGCTGAATTCTTGAATCATAAGACCTGAACTGGGATGCACTTCCCTCTGCCTGGAATCATATAGCTGACCAGCTATGCAGTGCTGGCTTCTAATTTCTCCTCAATTATATACTTGTGTTCAGTTGGAGAGGTAGGATAAATGTGTAATTAACTTGGAATACAAATATTTTAAGTATAGGTTTTGTTTGAGGGAATTTTTCAGGCTAGAGCCTTTAGTTAAACCCAAACCCGTTTCCTTTACTTGCAGTTAAATCACGCACCTCTAGGTGGAGGTAGGACACACTGGTACTTCAGGCTGCTCTGGTTTTCCTTTCACTCTCCCTCCGAGTCCATCCGAAATCCCTGAGCTCTTTCCTTGGCTCCTGAATCAGAAGGGAGAGTGCCTTGGAACAGATGAAGGATAACTGGTGTTCAGTTTTGTAGACATTAAAACTCTATGCTTTTGAAGATAACACCAGGCAGTTATTTTTTGTTTGTTTTAAAACATTGCATTAATTACACTGAACATAACCCGAAAGCTTAGTTACCCCTAGCCCATGTTTATCTGTACATGTGAGCAGCTGCTGCTGCCCAGGAGAAGGGCAGGCAGCTGGGCAGAGGCCCCAGCAGGCAGGGAAGGGCTGACCCTCAGCAGATAGTTAGCAACTGTAGGCAAAATTCAAAACTTTTTACTTACTTTTGCTGTCTTTCAGTTCAATCAAAATACAAGCTGCATGAAACCCATCTTACAGTGCTGTTGCCCTCAGAAATTCCCCCTCAAAGACATCTGCCTTGAAGTATTTGATTTTTTTACTTTGTGCAAAACTGAGGTACTAACTTTCACCTGTTTTGATATCTTGGTGTGCACAGAAGGAATTGGCTGTAGCAATTTGTTGACATCGGGATGTTATGTAGAGCAGTGGAGAAAATCCAGTGTCATCTAATTCATTGGAAGCTTCTTATGAAACAAAGTTTAGAATTAATATTTTTACTAAAAATGCTAATGAATTCCTGTTTTATCTAACTGGTTAACATAAGCCATAGGTTATTTTCTTCTTTTAACTGAAGTTCTGTTATAGATCTGTTCCATGGTATATGGAAAAGTACCTTCTTTTTTAAAAAAAAAATAATATTGGTTTTCTTCATTATGTAATGATGTAATTTACTGTGATTTTAACTGTGTTTAGGGCAAACTAAAAAGATAGTGTGCTAGTCAAGAGAGCACCCCACATAATATCATACCATCATATTTGCTACTGACTGTGTGGTACACCAGTCAGCCTGGGGAGGGCAACAAAATACAGGGAAGACAAATCTACTCCCAGTTGAGGTCAAGCAAAAGAAATTATTCTGGATATGTATTCTTCTGTTTAAAACATGTGAGGATGTTAAGCAGAGATATAAAGCATGTTGAGGATATAAATTCTGCAGTATGATAAACTACATATCTTTGAAGTTTCTGCCCATTTTTTTCCTCACTTTCTCATGTGGCAGTAAACTATATTAAGCTGAAAATAAGGCTCAAATGATGTGTCACTTCTTGCAGTCCAAAACTAATATATTTTATGAAACATACTTAAAAATCCCTGGCGGTTTGTATATCACATTTAAAAACAGAATACTCTCAAAATGACAATTTAATCCTGGACACATGCCTTTTTTTATGTGCTGTAAACCCATGGATGCTTTGTTGCCATCTCATCATTAATGCACTGGTTCTGACATATTTGTATATGATAATATCATGGGAGTCTTTCATATGGCTTTCCAAAATGACATGTGTAAGATATATTTGAACAAGAACAGGAACTGTGCTGTTTCTTTAAAAAAAATTAAAAGGCCTGATTTATACTTATTACAATGAAATTATTGACTAAGCTTTAAATTGTCTGTTTTTACCTGAAGACTTGTATACATTCCCATCCTTTATAAGAAACCCTGGGCTTTGTCTTTGTCAAAAACCATTCACTAGTTGTTCAGGAACTTCTTAAGTGTAGTCTTTGTAGTAGGTTGAAAATGTCTTGCGTATCAGTTTTTGTCAATTTACATGACTTTAGAATTGTCAAGCAAAAAATGTGTAAGTCTAAGCAGGAATTGTCTGCCCCCTATTAAAATTTCTCATCCTCTTCACAAACAGCTGCAGAAATACAAAGAATATTACATCAACTTGGAACACCACAAGACACGCCTGACTTGAGGCAACAGCTGTGAGTACTTCACATAAAAATGTTTAGTTTCATTGTAAACAGTGCCCTGGTAGGTGATGACATCATAAAAATGTTTAGTTTCATTGTAAACAATCCCCTGGTAGGTGATGACATGTTTTTTCATTAGGCAGAGTGCTTGATTTCGCTGAAAAAAAGGTAAGCATAGAGAAATATTTGAAACTTAAATGCTGAGATGAGCTTTCTGAAGTCTTGGGTAGTCTGTGAGCTGGAGACAGCTGTTTTGTCCATGCACGTCGGCTGCAGTATCAATACATTTATAAAACCTAAGCTGTATGTCAGCAAAGGGAAAGTGACAGGACCAGAAAGCAGTATCACTATTTAAAACATGCACCTGCACCACTCTCCTCCAGTCAGCTCTTCCACTCTGTATAAGTTTCACAAGGTACTGAATATATTGGGGTTTTTTTGTGAGATTAGATACTGTGAGAGAAAGGGGATGTTGTTTTGAATGATGAAAGCTACACTAAGGGATGACATTATAGAATAAATATGTACCAGAAATGGTAACATAACAGAAGTGAAATTATTTCAAGGCAGATGCTCTACTGTAGTTCAGTCATCTAGAGGTGGGCTTTCATTAATATGCCTCTAGCAGAGACAGTCAGCTGTTCTCCACTTCTCTGCATGCTCTAATGAACCAGTATGATTTTTTTTCCATTAAACTCCTTTACCCCACTAGTCTCAGTGTCATAAATGCACATGAGCAACATGTTGTGCTTACCCTCTGGGTGAGATGGTTGGCATTTTCAGTATGGTTAATGCTGCCCTGTGGCTGTTGAATAGTAGGAGGAGGTGTGTATTGGACCAAAGGCATCATGTTCATTTTGTGTGAACAAATGGCTTTATAATAGGGCCCATAACATTAGCCATGTGCAATCCACAGTGGATATTCTGTTGGGGACTGGGAATGTGTGAAGAACAACATGTAGAGTTTATACAATAACCAGACAGGTTCTAGGCATAAATTCACAGCTAAACAGGATAGAAACTGTTGTGAAGGACATGTTCACTGATTCTCAAGAAAGCAACAGCACTAAATGCTTCTCTAAAGCACACAAAGACACCTCTATTCTGTTCTTTACCATAAAGGCAAGACATCATGGATTCCAGGTGGGACAGATGACGAAGGTGTGCTCCTCAGCAAATAATATTAAAGCAAATAATCCAGTGGTCTCTAATGAAAATTTGCATTTGTTTGTAGGCAACAGAAGCAGCAATACACCAACCAACTTGCCAAAGAAACTGACAAATACATTAAAGAGTTTGGATCTTTGCCTGCAACAAGTGAACAGGTATAAAGCCAGAGCATGGCTTGTTTGACTATCATGTTGGCTCATGTAGAGTATTTGACTCACTTCAGTTCTTCATTTCTATTTTTAAAGCACTGATTAGTTAGTCAACACATTTGCACAGTGGGAATACTTACAAGAACATTTTGTTGCAGTCCAGACTTGTCCCAAAGTTTTTTTATATATCAGGAATGAGGTAGTTTGGCTGAAATGGTGGCAAATAAGGCAATGCCTGCCTGCAGTTTCAGGTATCTGGACAGTGTAATCCATTGCAGTGATGCTAAATCTGACTTTGCCAGCACTCTGACTGCTTCGGGGGTCAAGGAATTGTGTGCCAAAACCACTGTTCACTCACTGTCTGAATAAACTTGATTATGCACAGTATGTCAGTTCTACATCACTTAGATCAGCATATGTGCTGTGTCTTGTCCACAGGTTCTTTCTTTCTTAAGAGCAGTAGACAGGAGCTGTTACTAAAAGAACGTGTGCAGTCTTTAAACTGCTTCTTTCCCAGGTGTGTGTAAAATCTTGTCAGAAGGTAGCATGTGAAGTGTCTGTTGTGATTAGCACACTCCTGTCTGCCATCCCATGGTTTCATATCCTAGCAAAATCTGTCACTTAAATAAGGGAAGAACAGGAGGATCCCAGAAAACAGGGATTTTGGTTATTGTCACTCAACTTGCCTGGCCTGTGACTGGTTACTAAAGAGTTTTTGGGAAGAAGTCTTGAAACACTGAATTCAAATGGCAGGCCATGATCCACGTGTGCTCATCCTGCCAAGCTGTAAATTTCTAATAGCAATGTTAAAACTTGGTCTTGGTATATAACCTTTAGTTCAGACAAAGTATGTTTGGTTTGTTGTCTTTTTTTATGGTTTGTCTTGAAAAGCTGGAAGTGAGATGTTTTACTGTTCAGTTTTACTTCTTATATCAAAGATGCATCTCAACAAAATGCATAAATAACAGATTCACAAATTGCGAATTACAGCCTTTCAGAAATTTGGAAGGAAGGGTTGATATATTGTAAACATTTAGGGAAATATGGTAGAGGCTCTCCTGAGTGCCCAGGATTGCTCTTCCCTTCACTGCATCTTAAAAAAGAGCAACCTGAAAGGTTAGAACAGGTATTTTTGTGCCAGTTCTAAAGCACTTAAGGGTGTATGTGAACCCACTTCTGGATGCAGCTCAATATATATTTTTACATTTATGTAAAATACATATGAAGTGCCCTGTTTTTTCTGCCTCTTTCCTTCCCATTCAGTCATATTTGCATATGTTTGCATTCATGGTATCAAAATATTTCACGCCCTAACAGTAGGCAGGTAATAAGGAAGGAAGAAGCTTTTTTTGTCCCTGCCCATTTCTCATTTCCAGCTGTAAAATGAAGATAAATACATTGATTTCTCCTTTAAATGCCTGAATTTGTGCAGTTATGTGGTCCCAGAAGAAACAAAGGTTTGTCTGTCCAGTTACCAGTGGTTTTGTAGACAGCCTTCCCTTACATCAATTTAGAAGAAAAAGAGTATATGCCTTAGCATTAAGCACCCTGGAAATGGCAAAGCCTTGATAAGCCTGAGCTCATTTGACTTGGTAAAACTTTTTCTCCTATAGCGTCAAAGAAAAATACAGAAAGATCGTCTTGTGGGGGAGTTCACCACAGCACTAACAAACTTCCAAAGACTCCAAAGGCAAGCTGCTGAGAAAGAAAAAGACTTTGTAGCCAGAGTAAGAGCCAGCTCAAGAGTCTCTGTAAGTATCAGAAAATGTACCATTATACTCTTAACGGTGGTGTTAGTGGTGTTCAATGTCAGCCTTGCTTCCACAGTGCTACTTTCCAAAGCTCATAACTGACCCTAAATACCGCAGAACTTGGGCTATACAATTTTATAGTAAAGGCTGCATTAAGTTATTGTAACCTCCCCTGAGAACTGTAACTTTGTCTTTGCCTTTGTCACACAAAGGCATGAACTGCCCCTGTGTTCATGCTATAATCTTGGAAAGGCAACTTTTAGTAGATTTTTAAATGCTTTTGCTGTGGCTTTAGATATCAACAGATCTATGGGGAAGAATGACTAGCCAGATTTCTGTGGAGTATTAAGGTGGAGAACTGCTGTGGAGCTTCAGATGTTGTGCTTTTCCTTGTTAGTATATCAATTTTGCCTTTTCCCTCTGTGCCAAATACACGTTGCTGTGCTTGTAAATTTTAGCAGTCAGTTACTGAGCTGAATGCTTTTGCTTGAATTTCAGCTTTATGTATGCATAATGCAAAATCAGCATGAGAACATGTTCAATCTTGTTTCAGTTTGAAATTGACTTACTAAAAAGCTTCTAATATTGACTCTATAGAAATGCTGACAGTGCTCCTTTCAGGGCCATAATGTTTTATTTATATATTTTAAAACTGATCATGTAGGGTGGTGCTCCAGAAGATACCTACAAAGAAGGAACACTTGTCTCTTGGGACAGGTAGGTTGAATTAGTTAATAAACCTTAATCTAGTTCAGAATAATAAATGGTCTGCGGGGAATCCAGCTGGTCATTGGGTTTTTGCTTGGGTTCCCTTTTTCTGATCAAATGCCATTTTTTGGAGGGAGCTGGGATAGGTTGTTCACTTAGGCTTTTTCTTAGAAAGTGAGCATAGAGAAGAGGCTTTGATGGTGTAGATGGGAAGAAAAAGGAGCAGTTCACATAATATTCCCCTTTTTAACTGATGCTTCAGTTGTAGCTATCTCCTTAAGCTCTCCTAATCTGCATTTGGGCTTTCTGAGACCCAGACTTACAGAAGAAGAGTCCAACCAGTGAATAGAGTAAAACTGCTGTGATAAAGGCCCAGTGTTTATTTGGATCTCCCATCACATTCTCCAAGAACTGCTTCTCAGTCTCAGATTCTTTTTTGCTGGCTAGCTTGCGTTTACCTCAGATAGATACGAACTCTGCAGTTTATAATTCAGAGAGAGCTTTGCCCTTGTATTCATACCTGGAATTTCCAGTCAGCTTCCTGTACCAGAGGTGTGACAGTTATATCTTTCCTGTCAGCTAGACGGACAAGGGGAAAAACCTGCGTTTTGTTAACTAAAATGTGAAAAATGTGCAATGTACTTAACTGTCATTTTATTCATCTGAACTATTTCTCATTGTGCCTGTTCAGTTCTGGGTGGGTTTGTTTTTGTTGTTTGATAGTCAACCGCAAGCACAAGTGCAAGATGAAGAAATTACAGAAGATGACCTCCGTCTTATCGAGGAGAGGGAATCTTCCATTAGGCAGCTTGAAGTAAGTACAAGTGGTTTTACATAGAATATGCTTTTGATGTTTCCAAAGAAAAAGCCTTTTAGTGGCATGAGCCATCATGAGGCATTGCAGACATCAATCTTGAGGAGTTATGGTTTGTTTGTGGGTCGTTTTTTCCTTTAAAACTACAAATACTGCCTTTAGATGTGAAATGTGCATTTGAAATCTACTATATGAAAGCCATGTTTTGATACTGTGTTTAACTTCAGTGTCTCGGTTGGGGATAAAAGAGTGCTCATGTCATTGCAAGGAAAAGTACATATAATTTTTCCCAAAGTAGTGGTCATATTATATAACCATTTTAAACAGCAACTATAAATGAAGAAAAATTATACCTTTCCTCCCAGGTGTTCCCAATGTATTGTTCAACATGTTCATTTTGCAAGCAGCTTTTTTGAACACTTCTGGACATACAGAGAGACTCTGTTTCATTCAAACTTTTATAATTAAAGGCTTGTTAAAAACAGTTAAAACCAAGATGTAACCTACATGAAAAATGTCACATGTGATGAAATACTGACATCAAGAGACTTCTCTGAAGACAGAACAAAATTTTCCAGCCTATATGGAATCCACATCTCTTCCATCAATAAGAAAGATGCTGGAACTGGAGTTTGTCAGGAAGTCTTGCTGATGCATGTGACAAAGTCCATTCTATGTATAACCTTTTCAATAATCTCTCCTTTGCCACCCATACTTTAACTTACAGTGAATTGAACTCAGCATGTGTCAGTCATTAGTTAAGAAGAGATCATATCCACAGCAATAACATGGCATCTACCACTTCATCATAACCAGATGGCAATAGGGTAAGATAGTATAGGTGCAGATGCCTGACCATAATGTAGAGGTAATTTCTGGAAACTGTGGTGCTTAGGAAATTTGTGTCTAATAGGTGTCATAAAACTAATGCAAAATAGTTCCTGCACATACTTTGTTAATTTTGCTTAAATGGATAGCTTTTGAGCAATGTGGGCGTGAACCTTTCCCTGCAGTTAAACTAATAATACAAGTATGTGTGTAGATGAGCCCTCTGCAATGAGAGGTCCTGTTTGTGATGTGTTGTGAAGTGTACTTTGTGCACATGCTCATCCTGAGCTTGATTTGATAGTTAGTTTGATTATGATAAACTTGGTCTCATAGTACCTAAAAAGCCTTCCAAATAAACACATTAGGGTGTTCCTATCCTGTAGTGTAAAGAGTCATGGATGCATACTCAGGAGAAGGAGGAACAGTATTTGTATCTAAATGTACAGAGATGCTAGAATATGTGATGTCAACTAATGCTATGATTTTTTTATTTGCAGGCTGATATTATGGACATCAATGAAATTTTCAAAGACCTAGGAATGATGATTCATGAACAAGGTGATGTGATAGGTAAGTCCAATTCAAATATTATCTCAAATATTTTAATTCTGTTTCTCTGGAGAGCAGCAATGTAGAACTTCCTTTTGCCAGAAAAATTCCTCTAATGAGAATATCAGTGCTAAACCAAATCAGGCACAACCTAATAAAGGGTAGACTGGCCAAAGGTGACTGGGAATACATTAAGAAAGTGTGTTTAAAAGGTAGTTTAAAACATGTAGTTTTTCATGTGTATAAAATGTCTTTACAAGTAGTTTTTTTAATTGTTTGTACATAAAATTGGAGTTCATGTGGGAAGTTTTACTGTATTGACTAATGATACAAGTGCACAGATTCATCAAAGGTCCATGCTTTGCCTTCCGTGTAGACAGGTTTATTGTTTTAACAAAATGTGATGGGAGAATGCATTTTCTGAGTCTGCTGCTAATCCATTCTGTTGTCTATGTGCAGTATACATTTTCAGGGCTCTTACTATCACCTTAGCCCATAATCCGTACATATTTTTCTAGGGGGGGGGGAAAATACCTGTCAGTATGGCAGAATACCAAACTATAACTGTGCCTCGGGGTGTTTTTTCATGTCTGTTTCTCCTCTGATTTCATAAGCCTTAAGACTTTTTAAATCTGAGCAGAGGGTAGTCAGTAGTAAGTTGGAGTGCAAGTGAAAGGTTATTTTAAAAACCAAAAAGTAGAAGTACTGAAAGTTTCTACCCTGATTGGTATCCAAGTTTCATCCCTGCATCTATAACAGGGGAGCTATTACCTGACATGAACTCAGCCACTCATTGCCTGGGCATTTCTGAAAGTATCTCAAGCATAAGTATAGGATGGGTCAAGCTTTCTTAATACATGGTATAAAACAGTAGATACGGACAAAGACACCAGCAGTTGGGGGCAGCTATTACATTTGCTTTCAAGTGATTTCAACATTCCAAACCTTTGTCTGGGTTATGACTAATCAAAATTGAAATCTTTCCTTTTAAAATAAAGACAGCATAGAAGCCAATGTGGAAAATGCAGATGTACATGTGCAACAAGCAAACCAGCAGCTGTCAAGGGCAGCAAACTACCAGGTAATGCCAATGCCAACTGCCAGTTCTGTGTAACTGTCCTTTCTCAGTAGTCCTGACTTCCACTTTCTTATGCTGTTCAGACTTGCTTAGTAAGTTCCTCAAGACTTGGAGACTTAAAGGTTTATATATTAGACTGCAGTGGTATTTCTGCATCACTGTAGAACAAAACTCAGTGACCTCTGAAGGCCTTGAGTTTAGTCTGTTTTCAGCCAGGTTGTTTTGGAGCCTTCTATGAAAGCACCTGGAGTTACACCTTTATTTAAAAACAAACAAACAAACAAAACCATCCCAAACCCAACAGAAACCCTCCTTTACAGATCAAGTTCCCCTATATGGAGAGCAAGCCTCTAAAGGTCACTGGAGGAGTAGGAAAGATAGGCAGGAAAGTCTTGTGAAGATGCTGCCAGTTAGCACCAATTTTTGCTGTCTAAAATCTTCTCAAAGCTGTATATATCCATCTTCTGTTATTTGCTTCTCTGATGCTAGAAACATATTTCAAACTGTCAAACTTTTTTAAAAAGGCTTTTAAATGCCTTTAAATGCTACTTCTTTATAGCATTTTTTGGAACTTATTAGAAATAATCTTATTAGTAATTAATCTTCCCTCTTAACTCAGAGTTAGTCCTTAGATTTTTATTTTTTTTTAAAATCCTCTTATGTGTGTTAATAGTAGCCAGGACAGTAAATGAATGACAAAATGTCTGAAGGATTCCCTGCTGATTTCAGAAGTGGGAAAGGATGCATCCTTGAACTGTATTCTGGGTGGCACTGATTGGCACATTATGTATGGTTGATGGCTCATATTTTGATACTGACAAAATTCAGGAAAAAAAATAGTAGAAGTCAAAATTTTCAGTAGATGATGCTAGTTTTCTGTTTGAAATTTAAAATTAAAACCTTCATGCTTTATTTTGAGGAGGAAAGGATGAATATCTTTGATCTCAAAGGAAGCTTATTGAGACTTTTGACAAGTTTCTGTTCAGTGGGTCTTGAAGCAGAGACAAACACTCTGAAGAGTCAGCCTGAGTTTGAAAGAATTGTGTAGTTTGCTTTGGATTTGAACTTCCTTTTGCTTGCAAACTCATCATTGTTCCAAGATGCTGAAAAATCATTTCCACTTTCAGCACTTGTTTTAATTTCAGCAACTATTATATCAGTATGGTCTGACCCCCTCCAAAAAGTGTTAGAGGCCCAGGTGTGCTGGCAAGGATGAGTTCCTGTATGTGGTTGGATGAAGTCTGTGTCACTCATCTACCTTGTAGGGTGCATTTGCATGCCACAGCCATTTGAGCAAAGCCAGGCTTTTCTCCTTGCTTTCCCCCTTTGTCACTGCTGCTTCTGTATTTGTAGAAATGATCATCAATTGTATGAGAAAATAAGGTCACCATGTCGTTAGTCCACTCCCTTGCATAGGTAGTTTTACAGGGGAAATGTTTGACTTCAGTGCATTGCTGGCAGGAGGTGGTCTGCAGGATGCAGAATGAAGAGACTAAGTGTAAGGAGACAACTGGCCACAGATTCTGAAAAAGAAAGATACTCCAGCAAATGGATTAAGTTCTAGCAAGTAAAATGATGAAATGAAGAAATCTTAGCCTGACAGTGGGAGAAGTGGCAATGAGACAGTAGAACTAGAAGAAGAGAATTGTTAAGAAATTTGGTAGTCTGGGTGGTATTGGGCAGAGAACTGAGAGCTCCAGTGAAGAACTGACACAGATGTTGTTCTTCAGAGGGGAAAAGAAAAAAAAAACCAACAACAAAACAATGCAGGCATAAGAACTTTCGCCAAGTAGAACACGGCATGGCTTTGCTTCTGGGGCTGTGGCCTAGAGTCCCAGGATTTGAGTGGTATTATTCCATGGCTATCAGCAAAAGCTTGAGAAACCCATTGGTAATTTCTTTTCCTCCTGTGAAAGAAACCTTAAGATTCCATATCCTTCAGATAAAGGGTGACAGACTGCTACTGGTCTTGACTGCTCTGGTGTCTCAAGTTACAGACCTGTATGGGAGATGTGAAAGTTCTGGACATGCTCATAATTTACACTTTCTTGTAGTGACATTTCTATATCTGTGCCTCTAGTCAGTTCTCTTTTGTTCGGTTTGGTTTGGATTTTTTGGGGTTTTTTTTCTTTTTTAAGGGCAAGTTGTACCAAAGAAATTTGACAAAAACAGCTTTAAAATAACAGCTTTAAAATAACTCTGTGAATGGGTCACAGAAGTCCAAAATTGTGGTTCATTGTCCCCTTCTGTATATACACTAATAGTTTTTAAATGTGTTTTTTTCCTAGCAGACCATTTCTACCTCCTCCATTGTGCAGTGATTGTCCATTTTCCTCCATATGCTGTCATCTGCACTTTCACATTTACTTCCCCCAGTGTACTAATTATATCCATTCATTCCATTACTGCATTCCCTTTCATTAGTTTATGATGTAAGCCAGATAATACCACTAAAATAATTCTGTTGAATAATATAGCCATAAAATAATGTAGATAACTTTGCTTATTTTTTCTTGAACAACTTTATATGACTTGTAAGGATGCAATTCAGTTAGATTGCACAAGCAGTAGGACCATAAAAGCATCTGAACAGTCTTCTGATGTGGTGGTGCAGTTTTCAATCAACTTGTTTTTCTCTCTGTTGGCAGCAAAGATCCAGAAAGAAGATGTGCATACTCATTGTTATACTTGCTGTTGGAGTATTGATTCTTGGAATCATCATATGGTTTCTTTCAAGATAAGTGTCTGGAGAAAGCTTTGTAATTGGTATTTAAATTAGGAGGGGAAATTCCTAGTCATGGTTTGCTCATGGTGAAGCTGAGTAAAATAGTGGTTCTGTACTTCATCACACTTACTCTTTTCTTTATAAGACTTTGTTTTAACCTGGGAAATAATGTTCTCAGTACTACCATCAGTATAACTGCCTACCCTCTTGGATGTGGGTGCTGTCTTACCAGAAAAAAACAGTCAAGGCCATAAACTGTTCCGTTAACTTAAACCTAAAAGCCTCTTAAGGTTTAGGGGGCTAATCAAAACCATGATAATTTGTTTTGACTGGGTGGGTAATTATCTTTTGGGATACTGCTAACGGTTGCTGCCAAAACAAACTCCTGGATTGTTGCTTGAGGCAACAAATTCACATCTCAGAATTTATTTTTAAGT